AACTTCGAAATATTCTTATCACACAAATTATTCATGATGGTACATTTTTACATTGAATATAGCTTTATTTTCCTTTGTTTCATTGTTTCCTTGTAGATGAATTCGCAAATAATGGAGTCTTCGAAGAATTTGTCACTATTGCGATAGAAAGAATTGCGATACTATTCCATAATTTCATAACTCTCCATAAGTCATTCTGGTAAATGATTTAGAATATTTTATTTTATTTCATTCATTATCGTTTTTAAGAATTAAAACTAGTTTGGCACAAATAAAATGAGATCGATCCCTTTTGCTCGACAAGATTCATTGAAAATCGGATAGAAATGAAGATCCATCTGTGACCTCAGTTATCATTTAGCTGCTTATCATTTTCAGTTTTTACCCTCAAATCTTTGTTAAGCGACCATTTTTCTTACTTGATCAACGATATTATTGGTCTTTTAAATAAGCCAATATAAATCACGATTATTCTAAAATAGGCAACACTAATCTATTTAATATTTTAGATTTTTTTAAATTGAATCACTAATCACTAATTTAATAAAAGGATTTTTATAACACGCTAATTGAGACCGACTGTCTGTGATTTAAGTGAATTTAAGAACCATGAAGTTTCTCTTCATACATATATATATATATATATTTATGCATAATCAGCAGTCCGTTCTCTGTTCTCTGAATAGATTTTTAATACAATATATCTTATCAACTACTGATCTGCCACCTGCATGGCCTTGTTTTGTTAATCGGCTTAATTATGTTTAGCCTCGTTCAGAGTGACACTGAGTGAATTGAGTATAGTTATAATAAATTGGAGGGAATATTATCGAAAACAAGATTTTATACAAATTTTAGCGCTTCATCTTTTGAAAATTTTTTTTTTTTTTTGAAAACGATAACCAAGCAGGATGAAATAAATAAACCTACGTGCTTGCAGAAGGTCGTAAATTTTTGCAGAATTACTTAAAAATCTTAGTAGAAGCTAAATACGAAGAGCTAAAATAAAAATAAGAGTGAGTAAACCTTAATGTTTACTTTCAACTTACCTTTTCTTTTTTAAATAGTAATTTTAACAAATTTTTTATAAATCTTTTATTGAGTCTCTCATCTGATAAATTATTCAGCATTATATAATATATTCAACTAAAATTACCATAGCAAAATGATAATTATATGCGTAAAATATATTTTTGAAAGGGAAATCAACAAGTCAATTTGAATCTCATCAGCATGTAATAATCAGTTTAAATTCGAAGTTTTATCTTCTTCTAATAGCTCTAATCATAATCATCATCATCATCACTGATTAGGCTGATTCCGCTGGCTATAAGAATAAAAGTTTCCAAGCTTTTCGGTCGGATTCCACCGCTGATAGCAGCAGAAGGCATTCATTTTTCCATCATCTAAATGAATATTGATATATTCGTTTATGCTTTGTTTCGATGCCACCATTTATCATAAATAATAAAAGATGTCGATGAGAGATGCAAGAAAGAAATAGCAGGAATCGTTTTGCTTTTAGATTAAAACAACATACCATTCGATCGATGGCTCTTCACACTAGTAATAAGTGGGGCTTGGTAGGAAGGCGTAGAAGATCCTCAAGGTCAAAGCCACTTTTTTACTACCATAACAACTTCTTGGTTGTTTGGTAATACTATAATAATAGAGTATAATGTAGCAAGTAGTAACAAGATAGAAATATGATTCAAATTTTTTTAATTTTTAATTTTAATAGGATTAATATCTCGAAAGGTGCTCGCATAAACAAAACTCTTATAGGATCGCATGGAATTAAGAATCATTACCCTACAAATAGTTTTTTTATCGAGAAACGCTCAATTTTTTTTCAACTGATGCAATTGATTTTATGAATGAAATATGCACTAATTTTCAATTTTAGGGTAAATATGAAAAAATTTATGATAAAATAATGGAAAAAATTTTTGCTATTGATATTAATATTAATATTAAATTGTTAAAAAATAAAAGAATTCATTAGCTAATTTCTTGTATTACTTGAAATTAAACTAAATAATAAAAGTTTGAGTATAATTTTTTTATTTGGTTCGATCGCCATCATTTCGTTCATTTTATTTTAGATAAAGTAAAAATATATAATTTAAATAAAAATAATTTATAAAAATAAATTTAGTCAAAGAAAATTTGATTAAAAATATCCAAAAAAATGTGAAAAAAATCAAATTGCAGCTATTAAAAAAACAGCATGAAAGCAATGAAAAAAAAAGCTTTTCAAGCGATAATCGACTTACAAATACGATTTTTAAAAAGCCAAAATTCAAATAAAATATTTCGAATGATAATAATTTAAGTATAATTTATATTTAAGTATAATTTATTTAAGTATAATTTATTTAAGTATAATTTATATGTTGAAAGCCTTCCTTCTTTCATAGATAACTTTATTTTTATATTTTAATGATGGAAGATTTCCAAATCATTTATTCGTTATTCAGTTGCAATAAGGGCTTAGTTTCACTTATAATTATGTTGGCTTTTAGCATTTTTTTTTTTAATTTTAAGTTTGCTAATTCCTAATTTGGTTATATAAGCGAAATAGCGAAGTGGAATATGGATAGAATAGAATGAAGTAATCAAACACTTAGCGCTCAACGCTACTGTTTAAGGTTCCATAATTAGTGGTTAATACGAAAATACGGGTTTACGGCAATTATCATTTGTAAATAATTATGGCTAACGCAATACAAGAATTTTTTGATTTTCAAGCTTATTCCCATAGTAAGCAAAATCTGAAATAGTCAATACAAAACTATATACTCAATCAATCAGAATAATGAATAATAGAGGGTTGACAAGAGCGTTTTCATTCAGATTATTTCTAATTTACGATTATTGCTAGTATTTCCAAATATTTCCAAAACATAGGAGTTTGAGAAATATAGGAGAATAATGTTATGTAATATAAAGATGCATCTTCAGACATCTCTCAGGTTAGCTTCGCTGGCTACAAGGGTAAATGTTTCCAAGCTCATCGATACGACGGCATCGTCAAAAATAATAGAAGTCATTTTTTTCCATCGTCTAAGTCCATATATTACTGGTCCATCAATGTTCAAAATCTTTTCTGTCTCAGTATAGATCTTGATTAGCCCAACTCTCGCTTTTGACGCCACCAATCACAAGGTTTAGCAAATAAAGTGGACGACGAAAAGAGTGCTTAATCAAGAGTGCTCTATGGTAGTATTGTTAAAACAAATAGTATATGAATGAAGATGGATGCAATCAAGTAAACTGAAGTGAAGTTTTGCACAATGGACTTCTAAAATGCATCTTAGACGTAAGTGGTAAAAGGCATATAGCTTTTTAATATATTCTCAATATTCTCTATTCACATTGACCATGTTCCCCATATATTTCCCAGCAAGGTATATTTATAAAGTGTTAATAAATCTCGTCTCCCTTGATGGATCCTGAATAATTATCCCAAATCTTGAGCATATTCTACCCTCAAGCTTTGGAATTATTTGACTATTATTATTAAGCCTGGATCGTACATTTATCGCATATACCACCGAATTAGAAATATAAGGAGTGGGAAGACGTGGGCGCCACATCAATAAGACTTGATCTTTTCACTTGGTAATAGAGATACGAGTGGGTTCCCAGCAACCATCTAGGTTTTTGATACCATGACTTTTACTCCTGTCAAAGATAAAATAAAGATAAAGATAATTAAATTTTAAAAAAAGAGTTCCATTCCATAGAATTCCATTTAAAGAGGATAATTAAAAGAATAAAATTTTATGAAAAAAAACACTCGCAGATGAGTAATAATAATAGTACGTATTAGTAATAATAAATAGCAAAAATAAATTACAAAATGGGAAATATCGCTAAATATCTTTTTATTAATTAACTGATTAATGATTTTCACTTATAAAATTGATTAATGAACAGAGCACTTTTTCGGCAAAACTTTCATAGGTCTGTTTACAGAATATAAAGAATATAAAAGAATATAAAGATATATGTAAAATATAAAAATATAATCTTATCGGCTTTACTAGTTCAATGAATAAATTAGCATTAAATAGATCGGTTGATGCTGGAAACTCCCCTGTAATTCTATAAATGAAGATTTTTTTTAATTCGACAAAATCAGTGGGGTTAGCCTGGCCAAAATTTTCTAATCACATTGAAATTTTTATATTATTGTGTTAATTCTTAATTTTACGAAATAAATTTTTTTTTTGTTCTGATCCACTATGCTGCTAATTTAATAATACTATTTTACAGAATGTTGATACTCGTTATATTCTTCTTTCATTTTATAAATTATGGATATTTTTTGCCTAGCAATCCAATTCCAATTTATATCGAAGAAAAATTAAACGGTGGACGAGAACTTTATGACAAACATGCAACTCCTACTCAAGATTTAGGCAAGAAGATTTTTTATTTACGAATTCGACCCAAGAATGTTATGCAACTTTTGATAATGTAACTTTTAAGTATGGTTTAAATGAAGAACAAAATGGAATAGCTCAATGGGTTGTTGCTTTCATTTCGAAGCGCCCATCTATAGTTTAATTTCTAATAGGAAAATAGGTGGCTGCTGGGGACCCACCTGTACAACCCTATATCCCTAAGCCAGGATAATTGCTCGAAACCTATCGACAATGGCATACCGCGCCGCTTGGAAGCGTCTTATCCTTGTGGCCATAGGAACCAGCCTAACCAGTAATGATGAGAATTGTTAGAAGAAGAAGAATAGGAAAACTACCTTCCAAAATTCTGTGCGATTGAAATAAAATTTGTCGCCCTTTTCAGTTGCAAAGTTTAGACGCTTCGCCTTGTCTTGCTTAAAATTCGCAAAATTTTCTCCATCAGTTTTTAATAATTAAAAATAAAAAGTGGTAATCTTTGCATTTTAATAAATTTACTAGATGGGATCTAAAAAAAATGACAAAAAAAATTTTTAGTTTTTAGGTCAAATAACATTTGTTAATTTGTCGATGTATATCGAAGGAATGTCGTCATTCCGAACACAAACTATGGTAATTCGTTCTATTAATATTTTCTGGATTTTCTTAAATTTTTAATTTAAATTTTATTATTTAAATAAATTTTATTATTTATTATTATTTTATTATTAAATACTTCATAAATTCTTCATAAAGCACATATATCCGTCATTTATCACTATTTTTTAAATTTTATTTTTTATGTTTACAAAGAAATTTAAATTAAATGCAGCGGCAGAATTGCTATATCTATTATGCAACTATTAATATGCAGTTTACTATTTCATCAGTTATTCGTTATAGGATTTTCAATTAGATGTTTATTTTCAACAGTTTTGGAAGGATCCACGTCTTGCGCACAATGAATCTAGGTTAATCACTATTCATTAACTTTGCAATAAATTGCACTTCTGGTACTTTTATTTAGTATTTCCAATCGCCTATCTTGAAAATCAATTAGTAACAATAATTTGAATCAAAAAACTAGTATTCCGACTTAAAATTTTATAGAGTAGATGGATTTTTGGTCAAAAAAAATAGATTTTTAAAAATTCAATTCAGACTTGATATATCGATAAGTGATTAAGATAATATAAAGGTTATGTTGGTGTTATACCAATATTATTTATCATAAATGATTGAATGTTTCCTTATTCCTACACTAATGAAATGAATCCTGGAGCATGGCACAAACAGCAAATCTCTGTAGAAAATGAAAAGAGATAAATGGAATTAATTTAAGATTTAAAGGGGCCTTGAGAGAACATGGTGGAATCCGGGAAAGTGTCAATTGTATACGTAGATAAGCATAATTAAATGTTTGTTAAAGGTGAGTGTTAAAGGAAAATAACTGTATTGAGTGTAGAGTGTAGTAATGAATCTGAGTGATCAAGATTAAAGTGCTATAAGAATAAAGTAATGGACGTATCAGAATTTGTAAAGTGAATGAGAAAATATAGCGGATTCAGTCTTCTTCTTCTAAGAGCTCTCACCATTGCTGGTTAGGTTCGCTCCAAGCGTCTACAAGCGTCAAGGGTAAGACGCTTCCAAGCGGCGCGGTCTGATGCCATCGTCGACAGTAATTTTTTCCATCGTCTAAGCCCATATATTGCTGGTCTACGTTCAAAATCTTTTCTTACCCTATCAGTCCAGGTTTGATTGGCCCATCTCGCTTTTGACGCCAATCATCACACGGTTTAACAAATAACGAAACGGGTACAGTTAAAAGATTGTAAATTATTGTTTAATGCTATAGTTCCACTTTTCTTTATTATTTTACGCACATTGATAGAAAATTATGTTGGTGATAATAAAAGATAAAGGTTATTTGGTTGATAAATTTTAGACGAATTTTGATTCGTGATCGAACAATTCTATCAAAAGTTTGGCATCCTGATATCTACTTTGCGAATGCTCGTATTGCAGAATTTCATCAAGTAACACAACCTAATTTTTTGGTTTGGATTGAACCTGATGGTTCTATTTTATATGATACAAGGTAAATAGAAACAATCCGTTCCTTTCTATAAAATTTCTATAAAATTCCTCGATTTTAATAAATTTTAAAGATATTTTAATAAATTTTAAGAAATATAGACTGTGTACTTCAATGCTATATCAATATTTATAAGTATTTATTTAGAATATCGATGGTTGTAATGTGCATGATGAATTTAGCCAAATGGCCTTTAGATGAACAACGATGCTATCTTCGAATTCTTAGCTGTAAAATTTTTTTCTTCATTTTTTAAATTTTTCCCTTATCAATGACTGAGTGTGATAAAATGCCTTTATCATAGATCTTTGACGGAAATCCTTATCCTAATATTCAGTAGAATAAGCTGAAACGTAAATGACTATTAATAGAAAGCATAATTAATTGTCTTTTATAAATTTTTTTTTCATAAATGATGTTTATACTTTTATGCGGTTCAGATGCTTACGATATTGAGTTATTACGAATTGCCTGGCAAGAAAATGAACCGATAACACGAAATATGAAAATTGCTATGTCAGATATGCGAATTGTTGATTTAAAACCAGGCCTTTGCGATGGGAATTATTCCACTGGTAAAAAATAATAAAAATAATAAAAAAAATAATAAAAAATAAATTTAATTCCGTCTTTCTGGGGAGCATGAAGCCTAATTCCTTAAATTCTTTCGACTGAATGTAAGTAACATAGAATCGATTCCAGCGCTCCCTAAGTTGTTATCTATTAAAAGTGTTATCTAAACTATTCAGTATGAGCGACCGAACCAGAAAGAATGTTACTATCCGAAGGATTAGATTTTACAAATTCTTTTCTTGTCTAATTGATTCTTAATATATTCTTTTCAAATATAATAATTCGCAGTTTAGAAAATTGTTCGAAATTTATTCAGGAATATGGAGTTGTGTAACTGCAGAATTTTATGTAAAACGAGAAATGACACATCATGTTATGCAGAGTTATGTTCCAACTACTCTTATTGTTATGATATCTTGGTTTTCATTTTGGCTGGATGTGGAGGCCGTACCTGCGAGGGTCATTTTAGCCATCTTAAAATTTTTTTGAATAATTTCTATGATTTTTTTTCTTTTTTTGTTATAATAAAGTGATTTACGGCGGAATGAATTATTGAAATTAAAAAATATAATTAATTTTTCAAAATTAATTTTTAAAAATGAAAATTCCGAAAAATGAAAGCAAAAGTTTTCTCAAAAATAAAAAATCTTGGGACGAGAATATCTAAATATGATCACACATTCTCTGTTTTCCATAAAAATTTTTGAAACATCTAGGGTTTGGATTTCAGGTATCGTTAGCAATTACAACTTTGCTTACACTTTCAACACAAGCAAATGCAGCCAGAATGGCTCTTCCCGAAGTATCTTATATGAAAGCAATTGACGTTTGGATGGGAACATGTATGATGTAAGTTTCTAAATGCATCCTTAAATGCCTTCAAAAATTGTCGGCATAACGAAGAATAACAGTCCATCAATCCTATCCTAATAAAACTTCTCGGCCATTTGAAATTGTTTAAAAAGCTTCCTTCCTCGGCCAATAAATCTATAATATATAACTGAATAAATTTCTTTAATTCTTAACTGCAAAAAATTAAAAAATTATTTATTGTTGATAAACAAAAATCTGGAAAATAACTGGAAAATAAAAATGAAAATAAAAAATCATAGTCTTCGCTGTACGAACATGGTTTCTGCTATTTGAACTATTTCTTTCTTCCCGAGTAGATTTAAATATATAATTTTATCGATAATGCAGCCCGCTAAATTATATTTGAAAATGCATTTTAGGTTCGTTTTTGGAGTAATGATTGAGTTTACAATTGTTAATTATGCTCAACGTCAAGGTATTTTATAAAATTTTCATATATAAATTTATGAAATTTAGTTTGCTTATGATTTTGAAAGAATCAATAATTCTTTTTTTGGAATATTTTTAGAATTTCTGTAAAATTTCTTTTAAGTTCTACGAGTCAAGTTTTTTTTAAATTTAAAAACAAAGAATTGAATATATATATATATAAGTATATATAAAATTCATAGCATTATAAAATAAATGATATTATAAAATAATAATTACCTATCTTTGATAGGAGTAAAACTGCTATGTCAAAAGCATGAGTAGTTGCTAGGGACCCACATGTAATTTTATCTCCAATTGACTCTAAGGTGAAAGAGACAGATATTCTTAATACGGCATTTTTCGACGCGCATAAATATTCTGCTGGTACCAGCCCGTTGGAACATGCGATAAGTATACGATTCGCGTGTAAAGCGATCCCAAGGCTGATAAATAAAATGTACTCGCAAGCCAGGGTAATTGCTTGAAACTTTTCGAAAGGAAAAGCTAAGTCGCACGCATGGTAGCCGTATCAGCATTAAACGCTAACGAACATTACAAGTCAAGCGATCATTGTTCTAAATATTGTGTGGATATGGCTTGTCGGAAGTTCATCTTCCTCTCCTCGAGTAATTACTAATCCTGACTCAAAGCAGAGGTTATATCACCGTGCTTTGGATAACTTGTGGCAGAATGGCGTAGCGATTGTCATGTCTGACAAAGCTTTGATTGAGTGGAAATCTGTAAGCGACTGTGTGGCCTATGCCAATGTTTTAAAGATAAGTTCTGCAATATCTCGCTCATCAATGTCTATGTTCCAACTCTGTCGGCAGATGACCAAGATAAAGATAATGAGGAAATTTCAACTATTTTAAAGAAATTCGGTAACAATGTGCGCATTTCAAACCAAATTATAGAAGCATCTCAATGGTACAAATGGTACAATGGTACAATATCAATGATTTTTCTAGAACGACAAATAAATCGCAACTAAAGGAATATCTACGAAAGTTACGGCATACTAGCAGGAAGTGAACTAATTGGAAGTCTTTCCAACTATCTTAAAAGGAAGGCTGCCAAAGTACAAGCTCAGAAGATCCTGACCATCGTATGATTTGAAGAATTGCAACAATTGCAGCAGCATGGCGAGACAGAAATCACTGTTGGAATGACACGGCCTTGAGAATGGAGATAGCGGCTCAATTAGGTGATAACAGAGAACTTTTTTCATTAAACAACTATAACTCAGGGAATTATCAGTAAAATGGTAAAGCACAGCAATGATGTGGCCTTTAAGAGTATAAAAGATCGCCACATAAGATGGAAGGAATTCTTTGAGGCCAAACTTAATCATGATGCGCCATCTGTTGCACCTGATATAAGTGATACGTTCGCTGAACCATATGCTTGCAACTGCAAGCCCACGACAGAAGAAAAAAAAATATGTTATTCATAAGCTTAAGGCCAATAAGACTCCAGAAGAAGATGGCTGGAACTTTTCCAATGTTGTCCTTCATAACGCACCTTCAACAATTTTACTCTCTGGTATGGCAAAAGGAAATATTACCAGATGATTGGATCAAAGCAATTTTGCTTCCAGTTTTTAATGTGACAAACTGCTGAGGAATCAGCCTACTAGATATCTCTGCTTCTCTTCTGCTAAATAAACTCAAAGCAACATAAGAAGAATGCGTCCTAATCAAGCTTGATTAAAACTGGGACGCAGTCGTGCTCGCCAAATATTTATAAAGTGTGAACATCGAATACTAACAAAGCAGCGTCACTTGCTTTATCAATTTGCAGCTGCCTTCGATTCGATAGATAGAGCAGCGATAGAAAGTAATGGAATGTGACGTGATGTAGCATTCTTCATATTAATTCTAAAGAATTTCGATTTTCCTAATCTTATTATTAATGGCAATATAATCAGTAGAGTCTCACATTTCCAACCTTGTTATAATCGTGGATGAAAATTTCGATTTTGACCTTCATTGCAGAACCATAGTAAAGAAATCCTCAAAAATACTAAATTTTGTTTTCCGTTCGTTTAAGAACAAAACTGAAGATTTCCTTATCAAAATGCGTTCGTTCGGCCACTTCTTAACTATAATGCTAGATATTACTCTCGGAGATTGTAAACCAAGTAAAATAATTGAAGGACTCCAAAAATATTTTATATGGCGCCTCTCTCCTAATTGCAATTTCAATTATAAAAGGAAACTTCTACAATATAACCTGGATTCTCTATCAGTTCGCCATATTAAACAAGAATTAACTTATACTTATAAGATTTTGTATGGTTTTGTTAAATTAGATTGTTCAAAATATAATTTTAGGTTAAATTTAAATCCAAGAAGAACAAATGGGCTAAAATTACTAAAAAACCTATGTGTAAAACTAAACTAAGGACTCATGATTTCTTTGTTCATAATTAATTACTGGAATAAACTACCGAACGACATAGCCCATCCCTAGCTATCTTTAAAAAAAGAATAGATAATATCATTTATGATATTATTTAAAAAATTCACATCATGCAGGAAGTGTGAAATAGCGATTTTTACCATCCGATTATGGTTATTTCGAGTTGTACTATATAATATTATTTTGCAATATCCTCTTTATTTCATCTTTAAATTGTTTATTTTATTTAACATTATTTTTTTCGTTTTTTGTCATTAATTCTTATTATTTGCTATTTTTATTATTATACAAGCACATGGCGTTTGCGCTCTGCTTGGCTGGTTTTCAATAAATAAATAAATCAGTCTAAATCTTTACGTTGATGACGTAGTCCTTTTTGCTGACAGTTATGACGAAATGGAAAGACCTTTCATCTTAGGTGCAAGAAGGAAGCTAATAAAATACTTCTTTTCATAAATTCATTGCCGGTTGAGGACATGCCTGATTTTAAATACGTTGCACCCACTCTAATACCGAATGGCCAGGCAAAGTATCATATCACAATTAATGCATTCTTCCCTTGACGAAACGTTTATGGAGCCGTCGTGAAATCACCATAAAAACGAAAGTCCGCATTTATATTTATATAGCCGTTAGTTTGATCTTGCTATATGGTTTATGAGAGTGGAGGATATTTAAAAGTTATATATCTTTGATTATTCTTACCTAAATAAATTTCTCCGAGTTCGTGGAGGGGAGAATATCTTATATGACTGTATATATCTTCATTCTAGTGCCATAACGGAGCGTCGACTTCGCTGGTTAAGACATGTTCTAGTTCACTCACCACGAGAGTTGACACATATTTCGCTATTTACTAAACCCTGTGTCGGATGGCATCAAAAGGGTGGACTAATCAAAATCTGGACTGATATAGTTAAGAAAAATTCCGAATAAATAGATGGACCAGCAATATATGGACTTAGACGATGGAAAAAGGAATGGCTTCCATTATTGTCGACGATGGTGACAGACCGCGCCACTTGGAAACGTCTTACCCTTTTAGCCGGTGGAGCCAGCCTAACCAGAAATGGTGTTAGAAGAAGAAGAACAATGGAGAAAAATCCTTTGCGTAGTCTCAATACAGTTCATTCGGCACTGGAAATGATAAACAAAAGAAAAAAAGAAAAAACCACCAGAAAATAGACCAAAATTTCATTAAATGGATGAGAACTTTTATTAGCTTATGGCGAAAAATCGACTCGAAGAGGAAACGATGGCGATATAACGAATTTAAGTTTCCCAGTAAGACAACGAGCTCGACAGATTTTCGAGAAAGCTTTCAGAAATAGCGACGAAAGCCCCCTAATCGAGGTTATTTTTTTCATTCATGAAATCAATGTGAAAATTCTTCAATAATTTTTGTTAATTCTTTCAAAGCAATGAACTAGCTTACTCAAACAAATTTATGTTCCTAACATCATTGAACTGAAAAAAGAAAATTGAAATTAATACTCAATCCTATCATTATATTTTTAATGCGAGGAACATAGGTTCATTTCTTCGCCCTTCAAAACCTGTCATTAAAAGTAAAATATAGGTGGCTTCTGAAGCAATCTTACCAAAGATTTTTGTCTTCAACTGGGTCTCTGGCGCATCTGGCGTTGTAACTCTAATAGTCATAAAATCAAACTAGATCAGGTGCACACACAGTCAGATTATTTTATCAATTAATTACAATATTATAAATAGGTTCGATATTTGAGAAAATTGGTTAAGTATAACCTTTTTAGCATTAAGATCCAATCATTAGAGAAAGAGCGAAACATTTGGAACTAGGAAATTGAAATCCCCAATTTAACCAGTTTTTACATAATCATTAAAATAATTAATAATTTAAAATGATTCCAGGAAAAAAAATTTCAGCGAAATTTATTGAATGAGCATTCCCATTCACCAAAAACGTATGGGTATTACGAAACAACAAATACGGAAACAATGTTCGCCAATGAAAATGGCTTATATAATTTTCTTGATGCTAAAGTGGAAAATAATGTGAGCAACGTATGCTTTTAATATTTTTTTTGCCGTTTGTCACATTTGATTATAAAAATTCTTCAATAATTTTTGTTAAATTCTAATATTTTGACCATGAAAAATTATTTTTTGCTTCAATTTTTTTCTGAAAATTCAAAAAAAAAGTGAAAAGAAAACAATAAATTGAAGGCAGAAATCAATGATTTGAATTTTCAAAATTTTGAATCGATTAAAACGAAAAATTTTTCTGAAAGAAAAATGCATTGATTGGAATTTCATATTAAATAAGTGAGGCTTGTTGTTCTTCTAGAATTGGAACGGAAAAATCTATTCGATGCCCAATTCGGAATTCAAAAAGAAACTGAACAATGCTCCATATCGATTATTACCGAACAATAATCCTTTCAGAAATCAAAATAGAGTGGTTCGACTAGCCAATTGGGCCAATGAAGATCAAGATGCAGTCGTCGCAAGTCCCAAACATTCATTTTCTAACTTATATCAGCATGACCCAGGTAGATACTCCTTTTCTTTTCATTAGGAATTCATTTTTATATTGCCGAAAATTTCATCGAATT